ACCATCCAATTTGCCTTTAAACAACCAATTTATCGGTTTATAACTTGCACCAATTTCATTAACTCAAGCTTACCACGAACATTTATGACAACATATAATGAAAATATATGGTTCCAAACGGCATTATATGACCTTGAGATGTATCCCCTAAAATCTCAATGATTTTCGACACCGAGCCCCGAAACATTCGAAATTTCTCAAAAATAGTGAATATTAGCCTTCAATTTTGGAATTTTTTGACTTTTTTTTGCCCGGATATAAAAATTGCTGAAATGTTTACCATGGTCCCAAATACCCTCCGGGAATCCAATTGGGTGGGTGGAACCATCCAATTTGCCTTTAAACAACCAATTTACCGGTTTACAACTTACACCGATTTCATTAATTAAAGCCTACCACGAACATTTATGACAACAGATAATGATCATATATGGTTCCAAATGACATTATATGACCCCGATGTATTCCCTAGAATTTCAAGACTTTTTGACATCGGGCCCCAAAAACTCCAAAAATTCTCAAAAAGCGTAGATATAGCCTTCAATTTTTTACTTTTTTCGCCCGGAAATAAAAAATTCCAAAATTTTTACCATGGTCTCTAATACCCTCCGGGAGGTGGGTGAAACCATCCTATTTTTCTTTAAACGGCCAATTTACCGATTTACAACTTGCATCGATTAAATTAACTCAAGCCTACTACGAACATTTATGACAACATATAATGATCATATATGTTTCCAAACGACATTATATGACCCCGAGATGTATCCTCTTAAATCTCAAAACTATTTGACACCGGGCCTCGAAACATCCCAAATTTCTCAAAAAGCGTGGACATCAATTTTGGAATTTTTTTCGCCTGAAAATTAAAATTGCCGAAATGTTTACCATGTTCCCTAATACCCTCTGAGATTCCAACTGGATAGGTGGAACCAACCAATTTGCCTTTAAACGACCAATTTACCGGTTTACAACTTGCACGGATTTCATTAAATCAAGCCTATAACGAACATTTATGACAACATATAATGATCATTTATGGTTCCAAAAGACATTATATTACCTCGAGATGTATCCCCTAAAATCTCATTTCTTTTCGACACCAGCCCCAAAACCTTCGAAATTTCTCAAAAAGCGTGGATATTAACCTTCAGTTATGAAATTTTTTTACTTTTTTTGCTCGGAAATAAAAATTGCCGAAATGTTTACCAAAATCCCTAATACCCTCGGGGAGACCAATTGGGTAGGTGGAACCATCCTATTTGCCTTTAAACGGCCAATTTACCGGTTTGCAACTTGCACCAATTTAATTAACTCAAGCCTACTACGAACATTTATGACAACATATTATGATCATATATGGTTCCAAACGGCATTATTTGACCGCGAGATGTATCCCTTAAAATCTCAAAACTTTTCAACACTGGTCCTCGAAACATTCCAAATTTTTCAAAAAGCGTGGATTTCAATTTTGGAAATTTTTGATTTTTTTTTGTCTGGAAATAAAAATTGCCGAAATGTTTACCATGGTCTCTAATACCCTCCGGGAGTCCAATTGGGTGGGTGAAACCATCCAATTTACCTTTAAAGGACCAATTTACCGGTTTACAACTTACACCAATTTCATTAACTCAAGCCAACCATGAACATTTATAGCAACAAATAATGATCATATATGGTTAAACAGCATTATATGACCCCGAGATATATCCCCTAGAATTTCAAGACTTTTTAACACTGGGCCCTGAAACCTCCAAAATTTATCAAAAAGTGTGGATAATAGCCTTCAATTTTGGAGTTTTTTTTTACTGTTTTTGCCCGGAAATAAAAATTGCTGAAATATTTACCATGGTCCCTAATACCCTCTTGGAGTCTAATTGGTTGGGTGGAACTATCCAATTGCCTTTAAACGACCAATTTACCGATCTACAACTTGCACCGATTTTAATTCAAGCCTACCATGAACATTTATGAAAAAAATATAATGATCATATATGGTTCCAAACGGCATTATATGACCCCGAGATGTATCCCCCAAAATCTCAAGCCTTTTCAACAACGGGCCCCGAAACCTCCAATTTTTTTTAAAAAACCATGGATATTAGTCTTCAATTTTGGAATTTTTTGACTCCGCTCGGAAATAATAATTGTCGAAATGTTTACCATGGTCTCTAATACCCTTAGGGAGTCCAATTGGTTGGGTGGAACTATCCAATTTACCTTTAAACGACCAATTTACCGACTTACAACTTGCATCGATTTCATTAATTAATTCAAGCCTACCACGAACATTTATGAAAACATATAATGATCATATATGGTTCCAAACGGCATTATATGACCCCGACACGTATCACCTAAATTCTCAAGCCTTTTCGACAGCGGGCCTTCAATTTTGGATTTTTTGACTTTTTTTCGTCCGGAAATAAAAATTGCCGAAATATTTATCATGGTTCCTAATACCCTTCGAGAGTCCAATTGAGTGGGTGGAACCATCCAATTTGCCTTTAAACGGCCAATTTACCAGTTTACAACTTGCCCCGATTTCATTAACTTAAGCTTACCACGAACATTTATGACAACATATGATGATCATTTATGGTTCCAAACGGCATTATAAGACTTTGAGATATATTCCCTAAAATCTCATTTCTTTTCAACACCAAGCCCCAAACCTTTTGAAATTTCTAAAAAAGCACAAATATTAGCCTTCAATTTTGTAATTTTTTGACTTTTTTCGCACGGAAATAAAAATTGCCAAAATGTTTATCATGATCTCCAACATCCTTCGGGAGTCCAATTGGATGGGTGGAACCATCCAATTTTCCTTTAAACGACCTATTTACGGTTTACAACTTGCACCGATTTCATTAATTCAAGCATACCACAAACATTTATGACAACAAATAATGATCATATATGGTTCCAAACGGCATTAAATGACCTCGAGATATATCCCCTAGAATTTCAAGACTTTTCGACACCGGGCCCCGAATCCTCCAAAATTTCTCAAAAAACGTGGATATTAGCCTTCAATTTTGGAATTTTTTGACTTTTTTTTTCGCTCGGAAATAAAAATTGCTGAAATGTTTACCATGGTCCCTAATACCCTATGGCAGTCCAATTGGGTGTGTGGAACCATTCAATTTGCTTTTAAAAGCCCAATTTATCGGTTTACAACTTGCACCAATTTACCAGTTTACAACGGCTAATTTAATTAACTTGCACCGAACCCGACTTGAACAGAAATTGACCCAAACCCATTTTATCCCTTCAAAACCCGAATTTAACCCGACTTGTTACTAATCTGACCTGATTTCAACCCGAACCGTTCCTAACATGACCCGAATTTAACCCAACCTGTAACAAACCCGACCCGAAATCAACCCGACTTGTTATTGACCTGACCCAAATTCAACCCGACTTGTTATTGACCCGACCCGAATTTTACCATACCTATAATTTACCCAACCCAAAAATTCAATTCGATCTATTACTAACCCGACTCCAAATTAACACGACTTGTTATTGACCCGACCTAAATTCAACCCAAATTGTTCCTGACCCGATTTCAAATCAGCTTAAATGCAATTTAGACCACCTTATTATTGTTGACCAAAGCATTTTGTCTTGGGAGAACAAGTTAGTCCAGGCCAGCAAAAGAAAGGAGCATCACTCAAATTTAAGAGTTAAATATAGTATATATTTGTTGTATGGTCAAAGGAGATAATTATCTTCCTAAATTATAGACTATAGTTCACTAGTATATTGTCATATATATTACAGTCAAAGGAAATAATTAGCTTGGTAAAAATGATAATTATCTATTTATAGTTAGTTGAACCCGAATATGACCTGACTTGGAAATGACCCAACCTGATTGTAACCTGCAAATTATTTACTTGAACATAACCCGACTTGAATCCGAGAATGACCCAACTTGGAAATGACCCAACCTGATTATAACTCGCAAATTATTGACTTGAACCGAACCCAACTTGAAAATGACTCGACTTGATTATAATCCGCAAATTATTGACTTGAACCGAACCCAACTTAAACTCGAGAATGACCCGACCTGATTTTAACCTGCAAATTATTGACTTGAACTGAACCCGACTCGAACTCGAGAATTACCCTAACCCATTTTAACCCGTGAAAACCCAAATTAAACCCGACCTATTGCTCACCCGACCCGAATGTTACCCGACCTGTTATTAAATCGACATAAACCCAACCCAAACCCGATAAGAAGTATGACCCGACTGACCCGACTCAAGCATGATCCAACCCAAACCCGACCCGCATAGGTTATGGAGTTAATCTGAATTGACCCGACCCACTCTTACCCGACCCAAACGCGACCCGTTTACTCGAATTGACAGCTCTAGCTAGGAGTAAAAGATGTTGTGAGAATATTTAGAGATAAAATATTGGAGCATTTGCACAGATTAAGGTATCGCTTTGTTGGTTGAACATAATCTTAATTACATAATAAAAATAAAGTTTGAGGTAATTGTAATCTTTTTAACATATATACTATCTGTGATGAAATCCATATAATCCTAAATCTAAGACTCCAATTCATTTAATTTAAGATAAATCATATTGCAAATGAAGCAGTGTTGGGTAACATTTCTAGTAACAAAAGTTATTAATTGAACCCTATAAAACAAATCTCTTTAAGTCATCTAATCTATCATAAATGTATCAACAAATGTTTGGATCAGGTTGTAAGGAAGTTGTTCCAACTTAAATAGAAGTCTCGAAAATACAACATTTATTGTGAGAGCTTTTTCATCTCATTTTTAGGTAACTGTTGCCAATTAACCACCCTTGATCCAACTGGACTAGTCGACTCTAATTCTAATTACATTACTCGAAAGCTAATAGGTTATGGATTAGCGGACAAAGTAACAACCACAAGTTCTCTAGTGTGAGGTAAAAAGAGAATGGAAGATAAATTATTAAATTAACAGAGAATAGTGGAATACCTGCTATCCACATTTTTATCCATGGAAAATAAAACCTCATTATAACACTAACACACACTATCCACTCTAACCACTACCTCCTCAATCTCTTCCTTCAACCTCCCAAATCTCCCCAATTTTTCTGCAAAATTTCCAACACCCACAAAAATTAATCAAATACCCAGTACAATAAACCATGATTTCTGCCTCAATTTCTGATAAAATTTTCCATGTCGTCCCAATTTTGGTGAATTCTCCCTCATATTCTCTCTCTACTGGAAAATCTTCTTCCATGTTTTTATCTCAATCTTCCTTTTCTTCTTCTGTATTGGTAGCTTCATTATCTCCTTCCAAATTCAAGTTATTGTCTTGTTCATCAAATGATCCCAGAAATTTGAGCTCTTGTGATGGTTTAATCAAGCTTCAACGCAATGTAAGTGCTCTTGTTCTTTGCTAATTTTCTTTAAATTTCTCCTTTATTATGTAGCTTGGTTATTATGATGTATTGTTTGGATATTATTATTGTTGTGAGAGTGTTTGCTGTACTTCGCTTGAATTGCTTTATTATGGTTGAGAACTTTGTTTGATGGGACCTTATCCATTAATTCATAGCCTACAAGACTCTGACTAATCTGAATTCGAGCTCGGCGAGGTCCCAACTGGGGAGGAGTTCTTGCTACATGCTTGCTTGAAAGTTTATAGGGGGAGAGTGGATCAAGAGGAGGGGAAAATACTCATTCCTTGCATTCTTATTCATTAATTAAACTGAAACTTGATTTATTTAGTAGTTCATGTCACAAGATGTGTTTGTTTCTTGTCTACGAGGCAAAATATTGAGGATATGCTCTTTAAAACTTTAATGAGAGCATGCCAGTATAGCTTTGTTGCAACTCTTGCAAGAGCCAACAGGTTTCTGTACTTCGTTCAGCATGTGGTGGTTCACATAGTTTTGAGGCATTCAAGTATTAGAGCCTTTAAAGGTAAGCCACTAATCAGGAAGATAAGATGCCCCCACGAACATGTTGCTCGTGATCAAGGAATGTATCAACTATCAAGGAATTTAGTGAAGAGTATGTTTAATAGTAGTCCGTAGTCGACTTTTGGCTTTGTTCAGATAATATCCCACATGTGAGATGGGACAAGTTGTTTGACATTGAAGAAGAAAAGGGAATTTGACTAACTTATAAGTCAAGTGGGCTACTCCACCTACCACCAGTGGTTTTGGGATTGAACGGTGCTGGACTGCTGGTCTTGTATGTGGTCAAACTCTCATCCGATGAGGGCTTTTGTACAAAATATTACCATGCTTGCACTTCTTTTATCTTTACCTTGTAAGGTTACTGTTTGGAAGCTCTAAAGCTATATGTCTTTATGGGTTTTGTACGAAACATTATCATGCTTGCACTTCTTCAAGCTTTCCCTTGTAAGGTTATTGCTTGGAATCTCTAAAGCTATATGCCTTTATTTTATTTGAGCAAAATAAAGGTTGATTTATTTCTTTTATAGGCTTGGATTATGGTAGAAAACTTGATTTTTGTACTGTGATGAGTCTGATGACCAAATTATGAAGTGATTCAAAAGTATATCAATAGTTTTAAGATGGTGCACATGCTCAAACACTAGTTTTGTATATATATAAGTATCTGTAATTGTTGAAAGGACATACCTCATTGAGAATTTGGAGAAAAAACAAAAGCAAGCCAAATTTCCCCAAGGAACATGCAGAATAAAGGAAAGCAAGTTCAGCATCTGTTAAGGAAGAGTGTAATACTGTAATCATGTGAAATGAATGTTGCTTCTTGATGAGGATTTTGGTAATTATGGTCCATGAGTGAGTAGCATCTTTCAACAATGCTCATGCTACATAGCTTCATTAAGAATGTAATTCTGTATTAAGTATCCAAGAACTTGTTTTATTCTTACTGATATAGGTTCCGTATTGGTGACTTTGAAAAGCTTATACAAACAAAGCTAAAATTTAACTGAAGTAACTTATTCCTATAATCCGCTGTATCAACATAATGATTTCTCTGTGCTCTAATTGCAGTGAAGCTGTTACCTAAATGTACATATTAATGGAGGTGTAATTTTTTATATATTCCATTTTTTCTTTCTGTTTGTAGGAGGATGCATGTATGAGATTTGTTTGCATGTAAGAGGAACTCAAAGTTTCACTCAGTGCAGCCTAATACTGTGCAATTTTCTATAGCATGTGTAGTCCTAGTTATTAGTCAGTAATGTGATATTTTGAAAGTAATAATGGTGTGTCAAATGTTTACCTATTACGTACTCCTATCTAAGCAAACATAGGACTTAAGATGAGTTAAAGGCATTTAACAACACAGTATTGGCTCAAGTGTCTACATGTCTTAAATTTGTGATATGTGGTTCCTATTGTGATTTTTGTCATTTAATTTAGTTCCACTAATCAGTGAATGACCCATAATAATTCTTACTGTCTGTGATTTCTTAGCTAGTGATAATTTTCTTTATGCTTTACTGGGCTGCACAGTCTTTGATTTTTCTCCTTTGTCGTGTATGAAGGCAGAAATTTGGAATGGCATTGACATTGCGACCAATCTTATCAATATATCAGCATGGTAAATCATCTTATCTTAGTTTCAACTTTGTAGTATGATATTGTTGACATCAATATTTTCAAATATCTTGATTTTCTGAATATTTGTTTCTTACGGTAGTCTGGAGCACAATTCTATGTATTCCAACAGCTAGAGAATGGCATCTGCTCACCTTCTTTAGAATAAAACATTACTACATCACTTTGATTTATGAGAAAAGTATTTGTTCTTTTACTTTAATGAAAATGGTTAACAAAGGAACTAATAAACCACTATTGCATTTAACTTATTTTAACTTTTAAAGTTGTATACTACGTACTTGTTTTAATATCCTATCTCTTCCTCATTTCAAAAAAAAAAAGTTTTTAGTTATCTTGTTGGTCAAAAGTGAAAATACTAATCAAGGCAAAGGGAATAATAAATTCTCACTATCGTTCTTTGTAGTGTAACTGTGCAAGTATATACTAACTCACACTGTCCATGACAGTCATTATCAATATGATTTTGTTGCTTGTTTCAAAAAGGTATAACCCCCTTGTATATTAGAACCTGTGGGACCATTAATGGGTTACTGAGTAAATATTAATGCATCTTCAATTGAGTATAGTGTGTTTTTGCTTTGGCTACACTTGCTTACACATTTGATGCTAAGGGTCTGTATTTTTAAATTTTACAGATCTCTCTAAGAAACTTTGCACCGTGAAAGATGGAGAAAATATGAAGGGCTTGTTAAGATGTGCTACTATCCTTTCATCTGCTACAATTGCCTGGCTGACTTCTTCACAAGTGGCATACTCCAGCACTGACATAAAAATAAATCCAGTTTATGAAGTTGGAGAGTTGTTTGAATTGGGAATTCAGTTGTCATATGTGCTTTTGCTGCTGGCTTTGCTTGGAGTTGGGACTTTTTTTGTTATCCGTCAAGTCCTCGTTCGTCGTGAACTTGATCTATCTGCTAAAGAATTGCAGGTCAGCTTTTCTATTTTGATGCATGTATAGTTGAAATCTATAGTAGAAAATTAAGACTATTACAATGTCTTTTACTTAAGATTCCTGATCAGGTAGAAATAGAAAAGGGATAACTTATTAAAGGATTTTTATGTGAAGATATTTTAAACTTGCTTTATATCCATTTCTATGTGAGACATAGATAGGTGTTCCTTTGCCCAATGCTCTATTTTCTTTGAGGAAAACAATCCCTCTAGACAGTAGTAATTTCTTTAAAAATAAGCTTTTATAAATTATCTTTGTTATTCTCAAGATATCCTTCATAAACACTGTACATGATCTGTGGTCTGTGTGAGATGCTTGAAAAATCAATTTGGTGCAATTATAGGAGCAAGTAAGGAGTGGTGACGCAAATGCAACTGAACTCTTTGAACTTGGAGCAGTGATGCTGAGACGAAAGTTTTACCCAGCTGCGACTAAATTCTTGCTTCAAGCAATTGAGAAATGGGATGGAGATGACCAGGATCTTGCCCAGGTTTGAAAAGCAATGATGATTTCCAGGCTTCTAAAATTTGCATAGTCTTCATATTTATCTTTCATCGTTTCTTTTCCATGTCAAGGAAACCATTCAAAGCATGTAATTCAATATTCACGCCTTCTCCTTCACTACTTATTGAAAAATGGCCTTATATGAAAGTCAATTAAATATTCCTTTTACTGATTGAAATTAGTAAGAGGTACACTATAAACCCCAAGACCTCAAATGATGATGGTGGTTGTTTGATATGCTTAATTGGATCATATGCTGGCTTAACCAATGATCTGTCACTTGGATTTGAGTAATCTTGCCACAGATAGGACGTGTCGGAGTCAGCTATATTATGAAAACTCATGTTTTCCAGAGTGTTGAAGTTCTGACATGGGTTATGGTGAAATGAAGAGTTCATCTAACATAGCTAGTCATGATTCTCCATTACACAAGTAACTTTCCTAGGACTTTCTGCACTATACTGTAATTAACAGGTCTATTCTTTGGTTAGTGTGATTATTTAGGTATTATGTATCTATATCTAAACATTAAAATTTGCACCTACAGGTTTATAATGCATTGGGTGTGAGTTATGTGCGTGATGGAAAGATTGACAAGGGTATCACGCAATTTGAGAAAGCTGTTAAGATCCAACCAGGGTATGTCACTGCTTGGAACAACCTTGGTGATGCATATGAACAGAAAAAAGATCTCAAGACTGCTCTTAAGGCATTTGAAGAAGTGTTGCTTTTCGATCCCAACAACAAGGTGGCACGCCCTCGAGTTGAATCACTAAGGGATCGTGTTAACATGTACAAAGGCGTCCCTGTAAAATCCAAAGAAAGGTGATAGTGTTATGATGTTAAACTAACTTAAATTTTGACATGGTATGAATTTGAAAACTGGTCTTGAGTTATGACAATATATGAACTCAAGTGGTTGCTTTTTGCTTCCTTTGTTTCATATTGTAAGGCGTTTGTAATATTTCTACTTGTGTAAGTTCTGATAATATAAGTTGTTTCAGGCAAAAAAAAAAAAAATGCATTCTATAATGTAAATTTATCAATTTATCCACTTTGTACTCTACTAAGGGAGCGTTTGGTTAGTGTATTTTTTGGATTGGAAATGGATTCGATTAAACCAATAATGTTACCTTGTGTTTGGTTTGAAGGCATGGTAACCATTACCATTACCTAAGTGTAATGATTACCCCTTATTTGTTACCTCTCAAAAACTTGGGGTAACAAATACACTTACCCTCCTCTTAACAAATACCCTTTACATGGTTAAACCAAACAAATGAAAAGGTAATAGTTAAATGATTCATTTCCCCTCTCTTATTTGTTTCCTTTCCACCCCGTTTCCACTTTTCAAACCAAATGCCCCCCTAAGAGTATTTTAGTATATTTCCTCAAAAAAACAAAAAAAACAAAAAAAAGAAGAGTATTGCAGTATTTTGATTTTTCAACAAAATCATCTTTAAACCCTTCAATATATCGATGCACAGCCTAGCCAACCTCAATTAGCAAATTTTAATGAAGGCATAATAGGATATGAGTATAAATTGTTGTCCATCAGTATATCCACACAAAAAGCAAGAGTTTTTTTTTTGATGAAATTAACTTACGAGTTTAAAAGGTAACTGAAACGTTAAAAGCTCCCGGTAAAAATTGATATTTTAAAATGACTAGTTGCTTAAGCTTAAGAAACTCTTGGTGCTTCAAAAAAGGGTAATTATCTATCAATAAGTATTAAAGATCAAAATTGAATGAAAGATTGGATAAGTGGTGAAAACCACAAAATTTTGATTTCATCCTTAAGAGTAGACCATTTTTGTGTAATTGAAATATTAGAGATAACTCGTGTCGCACACATTAAAATGGATGTGATACAGGGTATTTGCAATATACTTGCAAGTTCATAAAAAATTAGACGATTCATCATTGCCTAAAAATCTCAAGATAGAAGGCTCGGATCATGGACATGTTATAGAGTAGAATTCAAATATGGTGGTTCTAACCGCTAAACCTGACACGAACTAACCTACTTTGTATTTGCTAAGTATGTACATGTTTACGATACTTAAAATGTAAAGCATATGCTATGAATGTTACCGAGTAGGTTAATTTTAATAGGTTTCCTAATCGGGCTAACACAAACACAGTCAAGCCTATCGAAAACTCGTGAAAGTAAGTATGAATCACCAAAACCCAAATCCAGGGTCCAACAACGGACCCGAACCACATTGTCAACTCACAAAGTCACAAGTCTTCACTCTTGAATTTTCTCGTCCATTGTTTGTTTCATTCATTCACTCTGTTCTTCCTCTCCCACTCTCACCTTCTCTCTCCTAAGTTACAGTTCGTCGTAATTTTGATACAATGAAAGCCAGTAAGATCTCTCATTCTACAAATTCAATCAAAGTTTGAGAATAAATCAAATCAAATTTTCACATTGTTTGTTAAATCTCAGCAAATTTTGTTTAATCTCACTCTTAATTTTGAATTTTCCCCAAATTTGTGTGGTTTTTGTAGGAATGGCTCAAAACCTAGGGTTTTTGGCCCTTTTTCTAATTGCGTCGATCTGTGAAGCTGCGATCTTTCGCCCAATTTCGGATTCTCACCGATCTGCGGCTCTTGAGATTTTCAAGCCAATCGATGGATCCTTTAAAAGGTTTTCAAAACCTCTACTTAAACCCTTGATTTCATTATCTATTTTCTAAGTAATTTTGTTTGAATGTGCAACAATGAATTAGGATGGTGATTTTTATTCAGGTTGTTATTGCTCAATTTGATCCATTGTGCTGTTAATTTAGTTAAAAATTTAAAATCTAGATGTCTTGAGGATGTTTAGGTTATTCAAATTAGAAAAAGTTAGAAGTCGGTGGCCGATTTTGGTGTTGCTTAACCTGCCATTTGATGTTATCGGAAGTAGGTGAAGAATTGAGTTTTAGAACTTGAATTGCATATATAAGGTGCAGATTTTTTTAGGAGTAGGGGACTACTGTCAGAAGCTTGTTGGATGATTTATAAAGAACTTCAGCTGGCCAAATTGTTATCACAGACCAAATTCATAAAGCAAATGGCATGTGTAATTGTTGGTTATACATCCCAAATGATGATTGAGAGCTCAATATCTTCTAAATGCTACACACGAATTGGGATTGCGGGAATAGTTGGTTTGGGGCAAATGATGATCGAGATCTCAATACCTTCTAAATGCTACACACGAATTGGGATTGCGGGAATGGTTGGTTTGGGGTTGTTTTTTTAAATCCCTGGAATTTGATGCTCGGTTATTTCTAGAAGTAGGAATATTGTACTGCCACTAATTTGAATTGCGATGTGGAAGATTACCAGTATGTTTACTGTGTAACTTTGTGCTTGTTTGATGATGACTGTAAAATTAATTTTCGTTTTGCATTAGTGCTCTAATCATCAGGCAAGTGACATACTTACATGCATTATGTAAAGCAGTGTTATTCCTATCTTAAGCCTTGTGTGCCTATGTTCTTATTTGTAGTATGCTCAATTAGATAGTTCTTTGAGGCTGTTCTTTGTTGAACATTTGTTGACTTCAACTTGTCTTTGGATAGTCTTGAAGACGCTTATGAGGCTTTAAGAACTTTTGAGATCCTTGGAATTGGGAAAGATCTTGATATAAGTACTTCAACATGTGGATTGATTACGGAGACCCTTAAGTCTTCATCTGCTAGTTTGAAGGATCTCAGTGTTGCATTGAAATCGAACCGAGTCCTAAAGTGCAAGATTGATGGAGAGAATTTTAAGGTAACCATTCTTCAAAAGGTCCCAAAATTGTCAAATTGATCTAAGAAGGATATACTTATTCTTTTTTAGGAACAAGAATATGAATCAGTCAATAGGTCTGAGGAGTTTTTAACCTTATTTTTTCTCTCTCTCTCCCATCTTTAAGGCTGTCAACTCAAAACTGCAAGCGGCAATCACTAAAGCAAACTCATTGCTTGATTTCTATTATTCAGTTGGAAGCTTGGTACTTCTTAAGGTAAAAATTCTATGCAATTTGCCATTTTCCTTTTTTGTTTTTTAACATCAACATTGATCAATTGGCTTTGAAGAGGCTTCCTCCAACGGTAGGGGAGGGGAGAGAAGGAGCAGATATTTGCAACCTCTCCTCAATAATAACAAATTGACTGTTTCCAATCAATTATGGAAAGGAAATGACCATGTGCTATCAGCCTACTCCACAATAAGAATTATACACATACAATAAATAAGTCATTATGTTTTAATCTATTCCATATTTTAAAGCCAAGGAAGTAAATACTCATCTACATTGGAAATGGATGGATCTACTTTTTGTCAATTTTATGTTGTGTAGACCAATGTTTTAAAAGTTTGCACCATATGATACGTTGACATTACTGAATATCAAAGCTGAATTATGTTTGTTTTCTATGATTTTCAAGATTTAATTTATTGCTTGGCATTCTTGATAATTTTTTGGCAATTATTTCATAAACATATGTGCAGGATCAGGCTGCTGATCTAGAAATTCAGCTTGAAAAGGCCGATCAAATCTTCCGCTCAGTCAAGGTTGGTTTTTTTTTTTTTAATTTTGCATTGTTAATCTACTTCTCCCATGATTGGCTCTAGGTTGTATGCTTTATGGTTTTGCTCCCTGGGCTTTTTAATTCAATTGGGTGCCATAGCTTATGTTCATACATTTTTGTTAGGCTCTTGGTCAAAGTGATGGACGGTGGCGTTATAGTTCCAACAAACCTGAGTCCAGTACTCGTGCGGCTGGTAGTATCTCCCCTTATAAATTTGATCTCCATTTTTCCTATTAGTTTTATGTCCATCTGTAGACCCTAGCTGTTTCTAGCATGTGTTATTGTTGTATAAAATGCATACTTTTGGGGGGTGTGGTGACCGTTTTGCTGCTGTTATGACTTTTCATTTCAATACTATTGATAAAAAATTTCTATCCATAGACTACTGACCATTTGTCTATTGCTAACTGTCTGTTTGCTGCAGGAATAGCTCTTGAAACTCTTGCTGGTGTTGTGTCATTAGCCTCAGCTGACATCGATCAATCACTGGTATTTGCATATTGTGCTATCCCCACTCATCTTCTGAACATGTCAATTCTGGTTTATTCATGTGATACAGATGACTGTGCTGTTTATTAGATTGATTGTCTTCTTGTAGCTATGTTGATTTTTGGTAATTAATTTAAGTGTTAATATTGAAATGCCTGTGTGACTCTATGCTAATACTCAGGCATCTTTGTTTGGATTTTCGGATGGTTTTAAATTTATATTGCCACAACTTATCCTTTGTTAAGCTGGAAAATTAGCTTTATTACATTGATATCATCTTAGTTTATGCATATAGATGAAGGATTAATACATTTTTCCCCTTCCCTTCAGATAAGGGAGGGTATACTATTTTAGAGTGAAGTATGTTGCTTCCACTCTTGAATCTTTAACCACAGTTTAGATCATCTGTGTTCCATCCAGCATTTGGTCATTATCTTCTTGTAATGGCTGTAACATACCCTTGACCTGCAAATTGATTTGTAGCTGGCCATATAGTCTTGCTATTGTAATGCCATATTCCATTACTTTTATACTTTTATGTACGTATCACATATGATTCTGCTGTAGCAATAATTTTGGGGCTTTATCTAATATTTTTGTTGAATGGACATTGTACAGATTGGTACTCTGAAGAATGATATAGTGAAACTGTTTGACAGCGTTGAGAAATATGGTATGTAGAGATCTCCTGTTGTGTGTTCCCATTACTGCCTCACTGCTACTTGGTAGTATTATGTTGGTGATATGCATCTGTGATATTCAAATGAACAATTTCAAAAATTTTGACAAAGAAATGTCAATTGAATTTCAAAATGGATTGTGTGGTTTTTTGTTAGAAAATTTTTGTGAGCTTGCATGATATCCTGTTGATAATTAAAATATGTTAATAATGTGTTTATGTTGTGATATAGCTCTTGATTTTGTAACATGAATAGCATTTTGTCAGAAATCTTGTTCAAACATTGAATATCTAGAATCTAGTTATAGTAAGAAATTGAACAAGTTTATAGACCTGGAACTCGTTCACGCCTCAATTACAATGAGAGATGTGACCATGTGA